TCTTAAGGATAAAGACACAGGTGACACGTCATTCTCAGCACCTTCCCTTGATCACACACCCCTATCAGCACATAAGGAGGGCCCAGGGGCCCCTGGGTGGACCCTGCCATGAAGTCCTGTCCACTGGTCTCAGCATGAGAACACCAGAATGTAAGTTGTCCTAATAAACTTTGATTATGTTTCATGGATGTGTCTGCTTCATTCTTTGGATTCAGACTACCTGTTCCGATTGGGGATACATCTTCATTTCTGCAGCCTCACACTTTGGAACTTTGCCAGAGTTTATTTTCCCCAGACTTTATTTTCCCACAACCTCTTAAATTTACTATTTACCATTTTTGCTCTATCCCCATGCCCTCCTGTGCAAGTAAACATTTAGCATGTTACCTAATTAGACTTCTCATAGTCTTCTAGGCCACCGTTACAAAGTGAACTCAGTCAGATTCTGTTCTATACTGTTAACCCCCAAGCCACAGACAAACCAGCTACCACAGCCCAATCCATCTCCCTTGGACCCAGCTTTCCTGGAAAAACTGAACTTGGTTTCCTCATGTAACTTATTATTTTGGCTCTTCCTAAGGTTTCTGTCACAAGTTAGCAATTTCATGCCCTCAATCCTTCCTCCTGCCATGTCGATTTTCGTCCCTCTTGTCAGAAGCTGGTATTGCACCAGAAATGGCCCTTCTTGTTTGCAGGAGTTTCCACTTGGGCGGTAGAAAGCAGTGGTGAGTCAGGTCCCTGGCTCAGTGTAGTCACCCCACTGTTTCCAGGGAGGGCAGATACCTCACCGCCTGGCCACAGGAGCTGAGCTGAGAGAGGCTGAGCAGAATCTCCATGGCTTGAAATGACAGGGAACGCCCAGAAACAAGGCTCGCAACACCACACTTCCTGACCACTTTATTCTTTAAATCTGAGCACAGCTTTGTGGGCGACTGAAAAGAGAGTCTTTCTAAAAACCACCACGTTCCAGAACTCTCCCTAAGAAAAGGTGAAGTAGCTCCCTGGCCTTCAAGTCCAGTGTCTGAATTGGTTGATACAAAGCTTAACAACATGGCGTGTTCCTTCAGCTCCAATGTTCCTCTCCGTTTTAAGATATCCAACTCCCACAACATTGTATAATAAAGGAAAGAAGCTAATAGAAAAGGAGCAACTAAAGATGAAACAAGGATGGAGAAAGATGGCAGGGATTAGGAGCTGATTGTTTTGTTTATATCCAAGACACTGTAATAAATGAATGTTCTTCCTCAAGATCCCAGCATCCGCCCTCCCTGGTGGCACGATGGGTTAAAGCGCAGCACTATGAAGCTATCATAGCCACTCCCTCCAGCATGAGTTCCACTCCCGGCCAGGGAAGTGACTCACATGGCGCATCAGACCTCTCCTGTCTCAGTCAGTGCTCCCCTGTCTCAATGGATCTGCCTGTTCTGCTCCCCACTGTGTCACGGTGATTTCTCCCAGCCTAGTGCCTCTGGCCTGTATCTCAGTTCTTGTGTGCGTAAATAAATAAATCTTTAAAAAAAAAAATCCCAGAGTCCCAGACATGCATACCCTAGAGTGTCTGCCATTCCACTAAATTATCTTATAACACTGCAAACTATAAAGGTCCAAAATGGGAATTTTTATGTTTATATAAATTTATATATTATATACATATACATTGTTACATATACTTATATCTAAACTTATATATGTTTAGATTTCCTTGCCATCTTCCTTCTTCTTGCTTTTTCTTTATTGCTCATTTTCTATTACTTCTTCCCTTTATTATAACAGTTTAGTATGAACAGTTTAGTACTGTCCAATGGAGAGAAGTGTGGACTCAAGAAGGAAAATGCTACATTGTTAAATTTATATATCCATATAAATTCTTATTTAATATATGATATCAGCTTATATAATAGTGTATAATTTATATGTCATAAAATATAATAAATAACGAGTATATATAACAAATTATATGTAACAAATAAGTTTTTATACATGCATACCTATATATTACATATAGGCTTTCCTCATTTAATCTCAAAAAGATCTTTGACTTTCTCACTGGCATATCTAAACTGTTGTGCTGTTGCAGTGCAGTAAGCTTTCTCTTAAATGAACTTGGTCTAACTTTCACCACTAAATCCCTTTTCCCATGTTAGAAACCACTGCCCTGACTGTCCCCCTAAACATGGCCCTCCCCCAGATTTTTCCATCCCCAAAAGCAATGTGCCTTCAGTTCCTTGGCTGAGGTCAAGGATGTCATAGTCATTGTCCACTCTTGCTGTAACTTGTTTCCTACCGGCCTTCAGCAAGTGCTAATGATCTTATCTCCCATAAGTCAGATTCTTACCTTTGTCATTATTTCCATCTCTAATGGCACCATGTGTGTCCTATCCACAGCCACTCTCCACTGTGGGTAACCTCCCATGCAGTCTTCCATTTCCACCCAAGTCCACTGATACATCCCTCTGCTGTCAAGCATCCCTGGCTTCAAGTTCAGCAGGTGCTAAAAATCCTCCAGTGGCTCCCAGGTGCCAGTAAAGTCTTGTCTCATTTCCTTGCCCCAAGCCCTTCCTCCTGGAGCTTTACAGTCTGCTAGTCTGCTGCTCATTCCTTACTTGCTACAATGGGCTACCCTATCTGTCTAGTTTCTTGAATTTACCAAACCCATGCTCACCTTCAAAAACACTCTCCCCCACTCTGCCTTTCCCAGGGTTCCTTTGATGTTTTTTTTTTTTTCTTTCTTGAACTCTAAAAAGATTAAGAGTCAGAAACCCTGTTTGCTTTTTAATCCATTGCCTTTTCATTATTCTTGGTATGTAATTTAATAAAATATACCTGTTGAACAAAGAAGTGGTCAACTCAATGTAATGCAAACCACAACTTATTATGGGGAGAAAGAAAGACCTCTATTTCAAGGAAACTGGTAAGAAGAAGGCTCAGTTCAAGGGAACTGTGGCGTTGGGGTCAGACTTCCTTCATTCCTGACAGCTTTTATTTTCTCTCTGAACTGGAAGGACCAGTCCCTGGCTTAGAATTAATAAGTTGGTGAGGGTGTGTAGGGTTTGAGGAAAGCCTTTGAAATTTAAGTAACTACTAAAAGGCATGGGAAAATTACTAAAGAAGATCTAGAAGAAATAGAAAATGATTCAAGAAGTGTCAGAGGTCTCTGGTTCAGCACACAGTACAATTTGACTGACAAGAGGAATCCACAGGGGTAACCCCCAGGTGTCTGGGGAGAGAGGAAGAGGAAGAAGGGTCAAATGGGGTGGGGGGGGGTTGAGGAGAGAAGTTACCTTCAAAATTAGAGCGTTATCAGTAAGAGTTCCCCAAAGATCTTTTTATAGCTAACAACATTTTAAATTCTTCAAGACTGTAGTATCTTTACCCTTTTAATTTTATACCCCCTCAGATTATGTTTATGTTTTTTGTTTGTTTGTTTGTTTTCAAATACTTTCCCCCCTTTCCCACCACCAGGTCCCCAACAGTCTTCCACCATGTTCCCTTGGGCCCACTCCCTCCCCGACTCTCACCCACCATCCAGAGCCTTGATTCCCTGGAGACTATTGTGTCCTCAAGGACAACAAAAACTAAATAGAATGTTTTGTGGATCTTTTGGCAAAATAAGGCCACTTCAGGTACTGTTAACAATTCAAGCATTTCATCAACTTCCAGAGGCAATTTGATAAATGGCTCAGATAAATTTAACTCGCCAGCAGGTTATATTCAGAACATTTTCTATTCTGCATGAGTGAACATTCCAAGAAGGTATTTGATGAAGATCTATAGAAGCTGGTCCTTGATTCCTGGAGCTAATTGTGCCATGAGCAGTTTTCTCAAATAATCCTTCCTCCTTCACATAAATTATTAAGAGGAACTCCATATATTCAGTTGTGTTCCTCAATCAACAAATATTTATTGACGAAATAAAGCTACTCCGGGTGGGACTTAGCAAAATCATAACAGGCTGGCTGGCAAAGCACAGTTTAGAACATAACGCTCGATAGATTCATTGCTGGTGGGTGAAAATGAGTGTCAGCAGTCATCATCCAAATACATGAGTGAGTGCAACACTTCACAAATCTTGTCATATATATTTTCCCTTATTTTACAGATGAGAAAACTGTGTTCTAAAGATTTCAGTGACTACCTAAGGTCATGGGCAAATTGCTTACTCCAAATATACATCATTTCCTCAGCCTTCCAGCAACAACACATTTTAGAGGTAGAATGTTATGCGGACAGCTTGATACTACACAGCAGGATGATGGAGGCAGGGGCAGCCTCTGATCCAGGCTAAGTTCAATGAGAAGAGGGCAGTGCAGATGTGCCCCAAAAATGCATTCTACTATCACCCCACTAGGTGGCAGTAACGGCCATCAATCAGGACTAGGGAGTCTTACTATAAACACTAGAATTTAAATGGCCACAGCAAAAGGGAAAAAGCAAGGCGGTGAGCCATACGTCTGTCTGTGTTTGTGCATGTTATCTACAGAGGACTTGAAAACTTATTAGAACTGTTAATGCATTCCATGCATTTATCATACTGCTGGTGGTAGGACCACAGGGAAAGAAAGAATTTGATATTGGTATTTTAGTCCTGCACTGTGTTCCTAGTTCAACATTTCTGTCCCTCCTCTGAATTGTGCGACCTGAATTCCAGTTAGATGATGTCCAGAAGTATCAGTCACTCCATATAAAGTGACGGTGCACTCAAGAGGAGTATGTGGGACTTCTGTGCTGCACCCGGGTGCAGGAACTCAAGAGTTGAAAGAATTCAAGGTACCTTTGATGCTTCACCGGATCTTGGTGATTAGCGCTGTAGAGCCTCAGACTACAGCACTCCATGTCAGAAAAAGCACAGGTGTGGAGATGGAGTTGTGACCCCTCTTTTGCATGAGTGTTTAGATGCCATCTCAAGTCTTCTGATAGGTAGAGGACAATGTTCCTTTTTTTCTGTGACTCTTTACAGATTCCGGGGATACTGCACGCCATTGACGAAACCAGAGGGCCCGTCAGCTGGAAGGCTGCTCTGTTCTAGGAGACTCCTCTGTAGGGGGCAGCTGCTTTTCTTCTGGCACCGGGGGCAGGTCGGGCGCCTTCTGCCCACACCTTGCCACAGTGAAGCGACTCATGTGCAGGGCTTCCTCATACCCTGGGAGGGTGTCCAACGAGGAGGGCAGCTGGCCCAGGGGGCTGTGGGAATGAGCCACGGCCAGGATTCTTCGAGCCGCAGGGCCAAATACTGACTGCAGGGCTGATGAGGAAAGAGGAATACAGTCCACGTCAACATGGCATCCCCAGAAATCAGAGGCTCGCCACACCCTTGCTTTCCCTTCATTTTACACATATCCAAATTCATTGCCACTCTTGGCCACAAAATGCTATAAAATTTTTGTGAAGCTTGTTTAAAAACTAACTTCACTCTCTGTTAGAATATTCTGTCCTCTCACGTTCTCAAATCATCTAAATTGTGCTCCCGTTTCTCACAACCCTTTCGCTTCCAAACCTTTACAGAAGTCGAACCTTTGACACCAACCCAAATTCCTTGGATATATTTAATTATTTTTGCCATTTGCACTGCCAGGAGAGGCACTGGAGGAGATGACGCTAAGTGAAATAAAGCAGAAAGTCAGGCATTCATGATTTCACTTTATGGAATAAAAAGAAACAAAGGAACAGATAAAACTAAGCAATGAATGAATGAATGAATGGATGGATGGATGGATGGATGGATGAATCCTTGAAAATCTCATAGCAGAATTGAGGCTGTTTGAGGGGGACGAAAAGTGAGGGATTAGGGGGTCTTTGGTGGTGGGTGTGGTGTGGTGATATACATCTGAAGAAATGTGAACGAGCACCCCTAAATCATATACTGCATTGTAAACCAATGTTACCTCAGTAAAAATGCTGCAACTGGGGGGGAAAAAAACTTATTTCTATGTATCTTTCCCTAAAATGGCAATGAGAAAGAATAAGCAGGAAATATTATATTGTCCTTTTCTAAATAAATATCACCATGTTTTGCCATCTGCTATTCTATTTGGAATTTACTCTTAATTTTAGGAAAGAATATAATACAAGAGGACAAAATAAATAAAGGTCAGTGTTTTTCTGATCACATGTTAATGTTTAATGCATCAAGACTTAGATAATAAAGAATCCCAAGTATACATAACTCAATTGTTATAAACTAGTATAAAAATAGAAAACAGAGTATTTTTAACCAAGTCCAACACATTTTTGAAAAATACACTCAGAGCTTGAAATAGTTTTACCAAAATATCTATATACTGAGTGATTTCTCCTGTAAGACATTTTACTTCTTTCTTCACTCTGTCTTTATCCAGACCAACATTTGAAAATACAGTCCCAGTGAGAGTCCACATCATGGAACCATCAAATTTCTGGTAATTAAAACCACTGAGTTCTAGAATGTTTTTCTATGTTTCCAATCACTCATTTTTCTATACGTTTTACAAATCCATGCTTCTACTTACTTTTCAGTAAGTTCAAACCGTGTCAGGCATGCTGTGTCCAGCGGCCTTCGCAGGACCTTTGTTCCAGAACTCCTAGGTCTACACTGCCATCACCCCAAGGAGACACGGGCCTTCCTTGGAGGGCCACCAGAGGTCACTGTATTGATCTGGCTGGATAATGTCAGTTTCATGTTGACCATAAATAGCTGAAGTATATCACTTAACTAACCAACCCTTCCCCCGTTATCTCGGCATACTCACAAGTCATCGTGCTCTGGAGGGTGCTGTCATGATCGAAAGCGATGACTGTCACCTCATAGGGTGGCTGTCCCTCCTCTTCCCCATTTTGCTGGCGACTCAGACAGCAACGCAGGCACACCGAGATCAGACCACACAGGAGCAGCAGTGCGCCAATTACCACCAGCAACCTGCAGGGGGCGCAGCGAGCAGCCTGAGCTAGGGGTCCTGTCTGCTCAACTGCGGCAGCCTCAGTCTTCAATGTCTGTGCAGCCTCAGTCTTCAATGTCTGTATGCATTCTCATTCTTGTTTGAATATTTTAGATTTTATTTTTTTTAAGATTTTAATTCCAAAGTCTTCACTTCACATAGCTACTTTTTTATTTTTTTCAGCAAGACCATCAATCAGCTCATTGGTGCCACTAGTAAGGGATGCTGCGTGCTTGGGAGGGGCTGCTTAATCTTTTCTGAAGTAATTTTTCTGTGGCTACTTCTAGAGCCCATCCTCCAAAAGTGAGCAAGGATCTGCTGATGTTGGCTGAGGGGATGGTTTTGAAATAGGAACTCCTGGCATATTGTCACACCCTTTCGTGATGAAGTAAAGAAACTTTACTAGGGAATATATTGGCTTTCTCAGACTCCTCCGGCCCCCCATCAGTACATTTAAAAGTGAAAAAACTAAAAAAGATAAAGAAAATAATGTCTCTGAGAAAATTCAAGTCTATTTTAAATGTCTTTCTGGGTATTAATGTTGAAACTTACCATATATACCAGAGGTGTACCCAATCTGTGGTCAGACAACTATGAAGAAAGAATAAAGGGTTTTGCAATAAAAATATAGTCAATGCCTATTGTAATTTCAGAATGAGAAATATGAATTACAATATCATAGGATTCCTACTTGTCATATAAGCATCAAAGTTGATGTTAACTTCACTGGACCCAACTGAATCTATTGTGAATTGGATACCTTAAATGAATTAGTGAATTAGATGGCATTTTTAAATGGTTGAATACAGAACAAAGTAGCGATTATGAAAATAGAGTTAATGGGAAAAGTGATCATGGCCACAGTAAACAGTTGTGATAATTACCAAGAAAGCACTTGAAATGACTACGGAAATGGCCATAAAAGTTAAGGTTAGTATATATTTGAGGTCAAGTTTTGTACAAAATTTCAGCTACAAATATGAAAGCAACACAATGACATTTAGAATTTGTTTTGCAAGTTCTTTCAGAAAAAGCCACCATGAAAATGGCCCTAAATTTTCCCATCGAGGATCAGAATTAGCATACATTTCCACTGAGGCCAAACAAGAAGAAAGAAAACATTAGAAACCAAAGTCACCATGATAAAAACTAAGGAAATACTCTTAGTTAACTGGGACAACTACAAATTTTCTCTATAGGTATGATAAAACATGGATTACATAGGATAAAATTGGGGTGAGAGACAGAGGAGAAGGAAAAATGTTTATTTTAGAGGATTAGTAAATTCAGTGCTATTTTCAGATACAACACTATTGAAATTCACTTTCATATCCTCTATCTGGTTGCATATTTGTACGATCGCTTGCTTTTTCACTAAATCATGTCTCTTGTAGGTTTTCTTGCATTTCCTGTTTGTTCAGAGCTCCTTCAAGTTCTATAGTGCTATGATTTTGGTAGTATTAAAAATGACTGCTTCACATGGTATGTGTTGAAAACCTCAGAGAACTGTGCTAACTAGCTAAGACCTATGTACACTAAACAAGTAACTGCAATAATCAGCATTATCCCTGGGCTTAACAGGCCTGCTATTGGGTAATCTTTCCATAGTTACTCTGTGTTTAACTACAGTTCAAGAAAGTCTCTTATTCAAACTCTTCTTGCTTTTTTTCTTTTTTAGTAATTCATCTCTAAGTGGATAGAAGCTTGGCCATTTTTATCTTTATGTATTCTGTGCTACCTAAGACCTAATTGTAACAGGCTTAAATTAAAGGATAATACCTTGAAGCAATTGCTAAATGAAATCTGGCTTCATATTAACCTGCCCTAAAGTGAAAAAATGCTTTTCAGATTTGAAACACTTATGCTACTTTGGGAATTACCCAAAGATATTTGTGACTAGCTATTGGACTCAGACTGTCTGAATGAGTCATGGAGAAGCAAATCTTTCTGACTGTATACAGTTGGGATTAATCCAGCTGTTTTGACAGGAAAAATTGGCAATGGAAAAAATACTCAGCAGTGTTATTCTGAGTATTTAAGATGACACGAATGTCTGTCTTCATTTTTAGATAACCTACCTGTGAGATGAATGGGTTAATTCAAAAGAAAGGGAAGTCAAAGATGTCTAATGACATATTGACCCTGTCTGGGTGTGACGATTTTTGCCTGTGTCTCTCCTTCATCCGTTTGGACTATCAGATACTTACTGTTCAGGAATGACACAGTTCTCCTCACATCTTGCCAGAGGAAGCTGTAGGAAGGGAAATAGTCTCAGACAAGGAAATTGTCTTGTATTTTCTGTTCAGCAGCCTATCAGTCATCTTTCTTGACTGATAGATCAGTTGTTGGCAGCAAAGTAACTATGAGAACTGATTCATAGGGTCAGCCATGTTTATGATTGCTTGTTTCCATCTTTTTCAAGCCAGTTGATGATTACATTTGAAGTGGAAGAAACTGGGATAGCAAATACCTACTCCTTTTGCTTGTTTGTACATGAGACATAATGGTCGCTTTATATAGATTTGTTCTAGAAATTTCCTGATCTATCCTTCAAGATGGCATTATCATCCAAATGCTTTCCCAGTGTGAAGTCAGCATTCCACTTACTTGATTTTTGCTTTTGTCCCTTCACTATATCAATACCTCATTGTACAGAGAAAAGGGGAAAGGAGAGAAAGATATTTATTGAATACTTTAAACCAATCAAACTGCTAAAGCTTTCTAATATTCCATATCATTTCATCACAAGAGCCATGTAGATGGGTATATTTAACCTAATTTTGAAAGATTAAGGGGCTAAGACATTAAGGAACATGACCAACTGCACATACCTACTAATGCATCTGGAATTCAAATCAAGCTCTATCACATATCTGTGTTGTAAGAAATAATAGAGGCCCTCCCTGGTGGCGCAGCAGGTTAAAGCATTGCACTAAGAAGCTGAAACCACTTTCGCATGAGTTCGATTCCCACCTGCCCTGGAGGTGACCACATGGCGTGGCGGACCTCTCCTGACCCGCCCGTGGCTCCCCTCAGCAGTGTACTTCATCAATCTGCCTGTTCTGCTCCCCACTTTGTCTCTGGTGAAGTCTTTTGCCACCCCTGAATCTTTGGCCTGTACCCCAGTTCTGCATGCACAAATGAATAAATCTTAAAAAAAGAAAAGAAAAGAAATAATAGAACTAAGGACAAAGCTACTTGAACAGCCTCTTGAAATGCTATCAAGTCTCTTTTATTCTTGGATATGAAAAAAAAAAAAACCTGCTCTTTCTTCTACCTTATTTTTTATATTTCCACTGACTTTCCCTTCAAAAACCCCTCTACATAAACATTTGATCCAGAAACTGCTTCTTCCTTCCAAGAATTTGAATGAATCAGTATCTCAGGAAATCAATGACAAAACCCAGAAAGATCCCTCTAAACATTGTCAGAGATTTGTACTATTTGGAGTTTGAAGAAAGGGCTGCAAGGGATTGGGACAAGCATTTTCACGACCTATCAGTTGAAAGAGTTTGTCAAAAGACAACTGTTCTCTGAAAATAATATGTGAGAAACACCCGGGTTGGCGTTAATTTTAAATAGTTGGCCACTGAGGATGACAAGGTGTGCTTCTTCCACCAGCCCTGGTACTTTATTTTACTCTCTTGTCTAAAGGTAAGAAAATTCTAAAGATCACAGCAGATGAAATATCTCTTTTCAGACCTGTGTAGAAAGAGAAGGAAAGAAGCACAAAGGAAGAGGGACCAAAAAGGAAATATAAGAAAAAAACTAAAGAATGAATTTTCAGATATCAACTAAACTGGTCTCCATTCCCCACCAGAAACTGTAAGGAGAATCTGACACTATCTTGTTTCTTCATTTGCTCTCCTTCTTAATGGATTGTATAATTAAAGAAACTTGACAATGATCCAGAATCTCTCTGTTCCACGTCCCCTTTCTCAGTGAATGAGTTATACAGGGATTTATGATATATAATGGGGAGTAATTAAGGGTCCGAAGTATTTTTAAAGAATTTTCCCTCTCAACTAGTGTCTGATCTGAATGAACTAAACTGAACTAAGCTGCTACAACAGCATTAGGACTGATGTGAGAAAGCCTGTTTATGCGAATGACATAGTTCTGAAAATTAACTTTGGACTATGTGGGATAGGAGATAAAAAACCAGAGAGAAGCAAACACAGTGGCATTTGTGATGTTCCATAGCTATTCAACTGGTATCTGGTGATCCAAGTGTCAGTCTCCCTTCTCACTGTTGCAATCACCTACATATGCACGTGAAGCCCCCAACACTAAGGAAATATTCGAAATATTCATTTCTCCAAGACTTAATTCTTTTCCTCATTCACTACATTCCCCCATTCCCTCCACGTTCTTCTGAGAGCTGACTTAGCTGAGACATTTTTGAAAACACAAATTCCCCAAACCCAAGTGCCTACACCTGCTTCCTCACTGCTCACCTGGAGCAAGCACAGCAGGGTGACAGCTGTCACCTCCAGAGTGCTCACTCCCATCTGGCTGGACTCCGGTGCCGCCGGGATCACGCGCTGTATCTTGCTGCCCTTCCGGTCACGCTCTACGCCATGCTGACTGACCGACCTCCAGGGCTTCAAGAGAGAAATTTTCCTCAGCAATATATCAGTTTTCTCCTCTCACTCTTTCTCTTTTTAACTCCTTTGGGCGTTTATTGTTCTGTAGTCTTTCTGTCCCCTTGTCTTCTTTCTCAGTTGCTATATATGTTTTTTGTTTGTCTTTCTTCCCTTCCTTCTGCTATGAATCCTTCCTTCACATCTTTAACTTTCTCCCGTCGGCCCAGGATGAAGAGACGCGAGAAGGACACGCGGGTTCTCTGATAGGTATTTTCCTAGGCAGTGGTGAGAAATGTGGCTTTCCGAAGAGTGAAAGGCAGGTTGGTGGCGACCAGGTAAGTTCACTTCTCCATCAGAAGAGGAGTCAGGGTCCTTCGCCAGAGCACTCCTGGTAACGATGAAGGTGGAAAATCACCCTACGCGCTCCACTCCCCTTTCCACGTGACTTGCTCTCCTCTCTTGCTCTTTGAAACCTTCCATTTCACTGTGTTGATAATCAACTCTCCAGTTCTGGGTCATTTCTTCTTAACCATCAGAGTAGACCTGAGAGTTTGACCAATGAACCATAAAACTCTCCCATCTTTTGAGAAAGCCGCTTTGGAGTTTAGAGTTTATAGATGATGTCCATAGTAGACCCCTTCCCCAGACTTCAGTTCTCATTGAAACAGATAAGTCAAACTGGGTTGCAAGATCTGATCTCTCTCTCTCTCTCCGAACCCTGCCTCCCTTCCCATCTCCAATAAAATTTCTTTCTCTACTTCTTTTCTTTCCCCCCTCCCTCCCTCTCTCTGTCTTCCTTGCAAATAAAACTGAAGGTCTCCATCTCAAAACTGTAACAAGATGTAGAAAGACCACAGGATATTTGTAAAGAAATATATCTATGGGAACAAATGCACACTCTATAAATAATTCATACATGTCAGTAATGATTTATTTAATACAAACTATCTTGACATTTTCTTTACATTGCAATGTTTTTCTTTCATAAGAAAATTAGGCACTACTTTACAGGGGTCTATTTTTCTCATGCGAATTGAGTGAAAACACTTTCTACCTATGGAAGTTTCATTTACTGTGTGAATCTCGAAGGGAGATTAGACAGTGGGGTTGAGTTTAAGAGCCCTTACACAAAATGACAATGTGGTATGTACTGGAGAATATAAACTTAGCTTTTTTTTTTTTAATAGCTAAGCAATCAAATACTAAGATAAAAAAGGATGCTGTGGTGAGAAACCACTCCATTCCAAAACAAACTAAACACTGCACTCTTCTTTAAAGGTTAGGGTGCCGGAATAGGCTAAAGAATGTTTTCCAAACTTCAGCAGAAAGCTTGACAAGAAGAGAAAGATGTTATAGACAAGGAAAGCAGAATCCTGGCCCTCTACAAAATTACTAGTAGTTTCTCCCAGCCTTAATTTTCCCATTTATGAAAGTGGACTGAAACACCCACTTGATTTATCCTTGATATTGTTTCATAGAGAAACTGCAGTCAGAGGTATGAAGGCATTTTGATTAGAATATTTCTATTCTGCATTCCTTGTACTCTCTTAACGGAGAGACGAAAGAGCATTATGGGTAAAAATCCAATGAGGTTGTCTGGAATTATATATTTGCTTTGTCGGCCAAATCAAAAACAAACCTTAGAAATCTGATTGCTGAACGGAGGCTACCAGAGTGTGTGGGGGGAAGAGGAAGGTGGGGTGGGGACCCAGTAAACTATAGTGGAGGATTATGGATGGTTTGGTAGTGGCTGTAGCAAAGTGACTGATGTGTGAAAGTCATGTGGTACTCTACCTCTGCAGTGTAGATGTGTTGTGAACCAGTGTTAACTTAATTTAAAAAAAAAAAGAATTAAAAGAAAGTCATGTCTGGAAAAGTTTCATTTATTTAACCATCTTTTATGTACTAGGTGAGTGTGTGAATACAAACATTAAATGAGGATAAAATTATAATTAAATGATGTGTTATGAAAGAATAATGAATGACACAATGGGTTTTTTGCTGTTATTAATAAATCTGTAACTAAAAAGTACTTGCTTGGTCACTTATTAGCTGTGTGTTCTTGGGCAAGCTGTATATAAAAGTAATAATAATGATAATAATTTTTGCTTGATAGACTTAGACAAATGAAAGAGGTTGATAGGTAGGAGGTGCATGTAACAGTCCTGATAGAACAAGCATTTATAAATGTTAACTACAGTTATCTTGATGTCCACTCAGTTTTACCAGTCACCTTCACCTGAAATCTGGTAGCTCACTGGTGTCCTCCACCCCTCTATTCTAATTGTCCTACTATTCCAGTCATTATACATCGCCTTGCTGTTCTGACCATCTCTTTTCCCACACATGCCAGCTTTCACCTGTAAGAACAGGTTTTTTTCTCCCCCACTGCATTTTCCTGCCGTGTGATTATGGTCACCTCTTTGCCCTACAGGTTCCTAACAGGTTTAAACAAAATAGTATTCTGTTAATAGTCTCCTTGCTATTTTTGTTTCTAGAATTACTACTGCAATTTTTTTTTTCATCATTGGATGATTCCCTGGAGCAGGAGAACTTCTTATTTATACTAATGAAAGTGATGATGCCTCATGGCCATTTTCAACTCTGCTATTAGTCCCCTTCAAAGCTTCCATGGAGGGAATGATGAAAGAGAAAAGAGGATTCAGGTGGGAAGACAAAAAGTTATATACTGGACAGGCAGGTAACTGAGATCGGAGGTAATAATCTCATTATGCTCCCACACAATCTTGTAGTTCAGTAAGTTTGTGAATCATTAGCTTTTACCCAAGTTGTTAAGCTCTTGGAGTGGAACCAATGGAGGGTGCATGTCCAAATATTTTACCCTATGCTTCAGGGAATTGTTATAGCACATGAGTAACAAGGAGGGCAAAAGAATTACTTATTTCTAATTCCTTTGACTATTTTCCTTTTGACCTTGCCTGAGTCAGGTAATAAACTATAAATTCCCTTTCTCTCTAGGCTTCAGCAAAATACTCTGAGGTGTTAAGAGTGAGCTATAAAGAGCTGAGCAGGGCTGAAGTCTCAGCCTTGGCTGCAAAAAGAGATATTATGGTGGCAGAAAACAAGTCAGTCTTGGAACTACTGGACACTCCACTAACAGATGTCTCTGAGGAGACACCACTGTACCTCAGTGTTGATGGCAACCTCAGAGGCATTGAAAGTCAGTGATCAGATTAAATTTAAGGAAGTTTAACAAGACAGGAGGCTTAAATTTATCATAGGATTCTTTTGGTATGCAATGTAACACATTATCCCAAATAATGTGAGCAGCAATGTAAAACAGCATGTATTTTCAGAGTTTTTATGGGTCAGAAATTGAATGTGGCTAATTAATTAGGCTATTTGCTTAGTTTCATAAGATTGCAGTCAGAAAGTCTGCTGTGTCACAGCTGGGATGGATCCATTTACAAGTTGTCTAGGGCAGAATACATTTCTTTGTGGTTATAGGATAAACGCAAAGGTAAGCTTGCTTCTTTAATGCAGTGAAAGAGGTTATGGTGGAAGGAGGAGAAAGAGAAATTTTAGCAGGATCAGCACAATACTGTATGCACTCACATATATTTTATCACATATATTCCATCACCTTTATCACACTCCAAGTCACAGATTCAACCCACACACAAGAGAAGAGTTAAACAAGGGCATGAACACCAGGAGGCAGGATAATGAAAACCATTTAGTCTAATAAATTTGTCTAGCTAGCTACCAAAATAAGATGGTAGAAATTATCCCCATAGATCTTTAAAAATAGGAAATACCCAAGCATCCATTGATAGATGAATGGATAACAAAATGTGGTGTATACATACATTGGGACGTTCTCTTTAAAAAGAAAGGGCGGGCCCTCCCTGGTGGCGCAGCGGGTTAAAGCACAGCACTGAGAATCTAAAGCCGCTTCCGCATGAGTTCTATCCCCGCCTGCCCCGGAGGAGTCCACATGGCGAGGCAGACCTCT